AAAACTTACCAAATACAGCAGTTATTTAAAAATTAATTTATCTTAATGAATATAATCCCAGAATTCATGCAGCATACGTGCAGTAAGTATTCTATATGTAATTGCTTAAATTCAGGGTTGGCCAAACTCAAATTGTATTGACTTTAATGAATGGTCATAGTAAAGCCATGTAAGGAAATGTAATGGAATTGGCACCTGGCTGCGATGCATAAGGCAGGCAAGCGTTCTCCATAGTAGCAGTCAGTACTCAGTAAGTATCTGCTGATTCGGCAACGGCTTTGTTTCATGGTTCGGCAAGTTCATGGAGTTCATGTCTTCCTACTATTGCCCTAATCAGTTGAGACAGAATTAGCACTAGCTAAATCTTCTGTGTGCTGCCTGGAAGGGTTTGTTGAGGGTAAGAGTCTGAAGACAGAGATTAAGGAGTCTTCATCCTCCTAAAGTGCTGGGCATCCAGGATCAGAGCCCTAGGTCAAAGAAATCCAGCCTGAATGCAGACCTAAGCACCAGTGCATTCCTGCATTGGGGATCACCAGACACGCTCTGCATTCAGAACGGATATCCCAGTCTATGCTTTGACTCAGGAGCATTTCATGTGCCACAGCAAAGTGACCTTGGTTCAAAAATTGCCTACATGTTTCTAAACATGTAGAAGAGGATACCCTGAAAATGTGAACGTTAATGTTTAAAGACTCATGGGTTGATCCATGACTGAGGAACTCCAAAACGGTGAGTTTGTAGAAACATACATTTGGAGCTTCAAGTATTTATCTACCTATCTGGTAAAGTGAAAGGTCTGATCAACCCCAGAGTACTTCCTTGGAAGTGTCTGATTATATTTGCTTTAAAATATAATTTGGTTTAGGGCAGTGAAACTATTCTGTATGAGACTGTAATGGTGGGTACATGTCATTATACATTTGTCAAAACCCAAAGAATGTACAACAGAAAGAGTGAACCAACCCTAAGGGAACCCGTGGCCTTTCAGTAATAGTGAGGTGTCAGTGTAGGTTCATCATTGTAACAAATGTAAGACTCTGGTGCAGGATGTTGATGGTGGGGAGGCTATGCTTGTGTGTGGGAGAGGTATATGTGAATTCTTTGTACTGTCTACTCAATTTTGCTGTGAACATAAAATTGCTCCTAAAAATAGTCTATTAAAAAAAAAAGAAGAACAGTATGGAGGTTCCTTAAAAAACTAAAAGTAGAACTACCATATGGCCCAGCAATCCCACTACTGGGCATATACCCTGAGAAAACCATAATTCAAAAAGAGTCATGTACCACAATGTTCATTGCAGCTCTATTTACAATAGCCAGGACATGGAAGCAACCTAAGTGTGCATCAACAGATGACTGGATAAGGGAAGATGTGGCACATATATACAATGGAATATTACTCAGCCATAAAAAGAAATGAAATTGAGTTATTTGTAGTGAGGTGGATGGACCTAGAGTCTGTCATACAGAGTGAAGTAAGTCAGAAAGAGAAAAACAAATACCGTATGCTAACACATATGTATGGAATCTAAAAAAAAAAATGTTCTGAAGAACCTAGGGGCAGGACAGGAATAAAGACACAGATGTAGAGACTGGACTTGAGGACACGGGGAGGGGGAAGGGTAAGCTGGGACGAAGTGAGAGAGTGGCATGGACTTATATATACTACCAAATGTAAAATAGATAGCTAGTGGGAAGCAACCACATAGCACAGGGAGATCAGCTCGGTGCTTTGTGACCGACCACCTAGAGGGGTGGGTTAGGGAGGGCATATGGGGACATATGTATATGTATAGCTGATTCACTTTGTTATAAAGCAGAAACTAACACACCATTGTAAAGCAATTATACTCCAATAAAGATGTTAAAATATATATGTATATATATAATTATAAAATATACGTATATAAAATTTGGGACATTCAAAAGATAACAGGCACAACATTAAAAATTGCCTTCCTCCATTCAGGCTGCTATAACAGAATACTATAATCTGGGTGGCTTATAAACAGAAATTAATTTCTCACAATTCTGGAGGCAGGGAAGTTCAAGGTCAGTGTCTGGTGAGGGCTTGCTTCCTGGTTCATAGATGGCCTTCGTCTCACTGTGTCCTATGTGGAGGAAAGGCTGAGGGAGCTCTCTGCTGTCTCTATTCTAAGAGTACTAATTCCATACATGAGGGCTCCACACTCATGACCTAAATCACCTCCAAAACGCCCCACCTCCAAATACCATCGCTTTGGGGATTAGGTTTCAACATACGAATTTTGAGGGGAGACAGTCTATAGCACAGGGCTATAATTGTTTTTTAAGAAAATTTGGGCACTAATAGATGTCGTGGTAAGTAAATAAGCACTTCCTCACAGGTGTAAAGATGAAAAGAAACTAGGGAAGCCAGGTGGAGCCCAGAACTGTAACATTCAGGTGTGGTAGGTGCCAATGACTCATTGTCCTTCCCAGGGACCTTCATGACATAGGGACATTTCTGTAGACTTGGGAATAATTTACATTTTAGGAAAAAATTTGGTAGACTGATTAAAAATAATAAATTACCATGTCAGAAGTATAACAAAATTTTATAGATTACATTCAATTTCCCTGGCATTGCAAAAAGAAAGAAAGTCAGATTCAAGCACCATGGAATCCAGGACAGGTATGGTACCAAGGAGGGCTTTAATGGTAAATTAGATGAGACTTGTCTCCGATGCCTCATTTCTTCAACTCCATTGGCTCAATAGCCTTAAGTCCCCCACTCATTTCACTGAACACATGAATAACAGTGAAAAAAATCCAGCTGTGTTGTTGCAGACAATGGACCCTACAGAGCCTCGTAGAAATATGCCTATGCCTGGCAAACCTGGTGGTCCAGAAGAAAGGCATTTGTGTCCATTAGTGGAATGACATTAGAAAGTAATCACGTGGCCTCAACAGTTCTTGCTGCCTTACCCATACCCCCTTTCTAAGTTCACCTGCAACCATAGAGGTCATTTCCCATCTCAAGCACGTGCATTTCTCTGCTTCAGACTGAAGGCTTTCTCCGGCACTGTAGGAGCTTGTTGGATCTAGCTCCGGCATAACCCAGATGCAAGGGAGAATGTTGCCCTCCACCAGTGGCTGACAGAAATCAGTGGGTAAATGGCCAGCTCTGTGTCTTTCACTGGGACAATTATGAGGTGTGCACTACAAGTTTTCTTAGAGGGTCCCCAGAAGGTTGTCCATAGTGGTAACTCACAGATTAGCTCACCCCTTATTGGCTTTTTTCCCTTCCTGGTCTCACCCACTCCCTCATGTGGGCTTCCTGGGATTACCTCCCAAATAAATTACCTTCATTCAAGTCCTTGTCTCAGGCCTGCTTTGGAGGAATCCCAAAGTAAGATAGTCTCATCCACTTTTGGTGAGTAATCTCCATGGCACTTCCCTATGGTGACATGTGAAGTAGCGGGGTGGTCAGCCTCTAGGCAATGCTTGCTCTGGAGGGATTCTGCACTCCTCTTCTTCCTTCTCCTTCCTCCAGATTTGTTTCAGGCATCACATAAAATGCAAGATGAGCACTATATGTCACAGCTTCAAAGTTTCTACCTCTCTCATAGGTAAGTTCAAACTTCTCCCAGAGACTGTCAATTCATGACACAAATCAAAGTTCAACAGTATTTCAAAAGGAAACCCCACGTTGTGTCCCACACTGTTCTGTTGTGTAATGGACGAGGTGAAACAAGGTGGCTGTGCACCAAATCTCAGGTGCGGAGGACCCGAGGTTCTAAGCCAAGGATCAGTGTCCTCACCGGAGATGCAAGCCCACAGCTGACACACCTGGCCTGAGTTCTTTCTTGGCATCTCACCCTGGCTGGCAGGCATCTGGCAAATAATTTTATCCTGATTCTGACTGGTCACTACTCTGAGGCCACTATCAGGGAAGAAATTATATTGACCTCACAGAAATAGTGAAAAGAAATCCACATTCAAAACTTGAAAAAAATGTATATGAATGGTGAAAGCCAATGCTAGGTGACCTGTGGACTTGAATTTCGAAGTTGATCCGTAGGTTTAGGCCTGGAAAAGAAGCTAAAGAAGTGACTGCTTATTTAAATACCATTGTATTTCTAGTTTTGGAACCGTATGAATGTATTAACTCTTTTAAAAATTACATCAAATATGCACAGGAGAAAGAAAAAAACATCACTACTTTGAAAAGCAGAACATTTTCTTCCTGATTTCCTTTTTTTTTCAAACATAGTTGTAGTTATCTCAGTTTTTTTTAAAGTAACTATTGAGGATGAAGAAGCTAAAGTGACCTGTTTGACGAACACTCATTTAATATTTAAAATTATTCAAAAGATGTTAATAATTAATAAGAAAATATAAGACAAAATTTTACCCCTTTTATAATGGTCCCTTTTTCTGATCACTAGGTTCTAGATAAAGTTATGAATGCTTGTGTTTATGTATGTTTGGATATAACTTGGTCACTTGTTCTAATTAGACACATGCAGTCAGCCTGTATTCACTTTAATTAGATGTACTTTGGGCCATTAGGAAGATTTTCCTCCTCTTTTCTGTTTTAATCTTATCAACTAAATAGGAATATTTTTCCAAAAATTTAAAAATATGGGAGCATACATGCATTTGTACTTCTGGAAATATAAACATCAAAATAAGTTGTAATAAAAGAAGATGGTATTTCTGGAATCTTGCAAAACTGGTTTAATTTTATTAGTGTTGCTTGTAGTGTGGTATGGTATTACCTGTGGACTCTCCAACAAATTCCAAAGGCACACGGAGTTCTACAGTTGTATCTGGGTACTTAACGATGGAGGGGTTTTTGTGTAACTGAAATCTTGCTGTAGTTAGTCTTCCCACGTGTTGGGAAAATACAAAAGGTGTTCATCGTGTTCAAGAAGAATTCAAATAGTTCACAAAAAGTAGAGGTATTTGTTGACATATCTATCTGGTTTTTTTTAGAACTCCGTCAGTGGCGAGAGATATTGATGATAAATCCAATGATGGCCGTGAACCCTTTATTGACAGCATCAGGGCATCAGAGCATTCCACTGGTTCCCTCACCATTTGAACCTCCAAGTGTGGATAGGTATTTCTCTTCAATACGACATTCCAGTCAAAGGAGAAAATGGATATTATTAAGGTTTCAAATGCTGTTAATCCCAGTGTTGTTTTATTGTCTAATGTTATTAAAGGGAACTGTGGTGCAATAAATCTGCCAGCCACATCTTCAACAAACTTCTCATCACTTCCCCTTTGAGGCCTGCTTGACGTCCTCACTCAGCAAATAGCTAAGGAGCACTTTCTATGTGACAGGCATTGCATAGGTGCAAACATGGATGTAGTCTGCTAGGGCTGTGGTAGCAAAATACCACAGACTGGGTGGCTTAATTTTATTTCTCACAGTTCTGGAGGCTGAAAGTCCTAGATCAAGGTACTGGCAGGTTTTGTTTCTCCTGAGGCTTCTCTCCTTGGCTTGGCTGCCTTTTTCTCTGTGTCTTCACGTGCTTTTTTCTCTGTGTGCAAGCACTTCTGGTGTCTCTTCCTCTTCTTATAAGAACACCAGTCCTACTGGGGCGCCACCCTTAGGACTTCATTTAACTTTAATTACCCCCTTAAAGGCCCTGGCTCCAAAGACAGTCGCCTGGTGGGGCAGGGGTTAGGAACACAATTCAGTCCATAACAATTGGGTATCCTGGATTTCCTGTGATAGAGCAACTCTTTCTTTGCAATAAAAGTGAAGTTATCAGTATTTTGGTTGTACACTCTGGCAGTTTCCTGTCTTCCCTTCTTTTGAATATATTGATACAGTCTGACATTCCGAGGAGAAAGAAAAATTCAGTATTTGTGCTTGTTCATGGAGCACGAACAAAAGAGTTGGACTTCTAGAGACCACTGAAGTTTGGAGAAATAAATTGTCCACCCAGGTAGTCGCTGATCCCAGATGGCAAAACTCAAGCCACAGTATGTTTATCCAATGAGGAAAGAATGTTGTGGTCAAGAATGGAAAATCAGACATTGGTACTGATTTGATTGGATCTTTTTTTTCCCCTGACATCCCTAAAACTTCCCTTTCCTGCTTTCTGTGTTGTGTTGGCAGCTGAGTTAATCCTTCCTTAGTAGAGCCCTTCCTCCTAAGCTTTCTCATCATATTTCTACTTAAGCCAATAGAGACTGCAGGACTTTTATACTTCATTTTGGGAAGAGATGATAGAATCCCATATGGCAATAAAAAAAAACTCACTGTCTATGCAATGGAAATTTTGTACAATTCCATTTTCATTTTACCTAATTTGTATCTTTTTTTTTTAACATCTTTATTGGGGGTATAATTGCTTTACAATGGTGTGTTAGTTTCTGCTTTATAACAAAGTGAATCAGTTATACATATACATATGTTCCCATATCTCTTCCCTCTTGCGTCTCCCTCCCTCCCACCCTCCCTATCCCACCCCTCCAGGCGGTCACAAAGCACCGAGCTGATCTCCCTGTGCTATGCGGCTGCTTCCCACTAGCTATCTTTCTAGTGTATATATGTCCATGCCTCTCTCTTGCTTTGTCACAGCTCACCCTTCCCCCTCCCCATATCCTCAAGTCCGTTCTCCAGTAGGTCTGTGTCTTTATTCCTGTCTTACCCCTAGGTTCTTCATGACATTTTTTTTCTTAAATTCCATATATATGTGTTAGCATACAGTATTTGTTTTTCTCTTTCTGACTTACTTCACTCTGTATGACAGACTCTAGGTCTATCCACCTCATTACAAATAGCTCAATTTCGTTTCTTTTTATGGCTGAGTAATATCCTAATTTGTATCTTTTTCCCTAGAGATTTATTGCCTCCCACTGTAGCTCCAACTGACCCAAGACAGTTTTGTGTTCCTTCCCAATTTGGATTCTCTGCTCTACCAAATGCAAATATGCCGAACGTGCTGTCCAGTCATGTCTACTCAGGTATGAGCAACAGATGGCTCTCGTCTGTGGAGCCACTGTGAACTGGATTGCTGCATTAAGCTTGCCATCAAATTTACTGCCAAATTTTAGAGGCAAAACTGTATGGTGATTATACTTGTAGTTTCTATAATTACTACCTAGGTTTAAATCATGGTTCCACCACTGTGTAACCAAGTGTAAGTCGCTTAACTCCTCCAACCATCAATTTACTGATGAATAACATGCAAATCTGCAATTACTACCTGTCTTATCTTACAGGCAGGAACTGATGAGGTCATGAGGAGATGAGGTCTGAGAGTTAAAGGCCCTGGGGCAGTTTACATATGGCCTGATAGGTCATAGTGAGGACCTGCCTTTTATTCTGGGGAAGAGGGAAAGCTTTTGAGGAGTTTGAGCAAAGGAGTGACATGGTCTGACTTACATTTTACCAGGATCACTCTGGCTGCTGTGTTGGGGACAAACTTGATAGGATTAAAGTTCTGGAGTTAAACTGATGGGAGTTAATGGGCTATTAGAATAGCCAAAAGATTATGATGGATTGGCCCTGCGTGATGGCAGTAGGAATGGTAAGAAGTGGCTGGATTCTGTAAATACTTTGAAGGTAGAAACAACAAGATGTTCTCAGAGTTTAGATATGAGATGTAAAAAGAGGAGAGGTGTTAAGGATGACATCAGAAATTTTGGCTGAGAAATGGGAAAGGTGGAGTTGCTCTTCACTGAGTTGAGGAAGACCATGAAAGCAAGAGTTCTTGGGGCGGGAGGGATATCATAGGCATTTGAGATGCCTAATAGACAATCAATGGGGGGATGTCTGGAAGGCAGCTGAAGTCCAGGGAGGACTTCTGGAGACAACCTGGAGATATAATTTTGGAAGTCATCGGGATATATGAGACTAGATGAGATCATCCATAGAGTGGGTTAAAAGGATGAGTTAGAAGTTAAAATGATGATCCCTGGGATATATCAACAGGGTCTAGAAGATAAACGGAGATATAGAAAAAGCAACCACTGAGGTGGGAGGAAACCCAGGAGAGGACGGAGGCCTGGAAACCAAGGGAAGAAAGTGTTTTAAGGAAAGAGTGAGCAACTGTGTCAAGTGTGCCACTCAAAGGCCAAGTAAGATGAGGACCAAGAATACATGATTAGATATAGCTTTGTGGAGGTCATTGATGATCTCGATAAGAGCAATTTCAGCAGAGTGGTGTCAGTAAAAACATGAGTGTAGGGGCTCAAGAGGGAATAAGATTGAAGATCAGATTGATGCATCTTATCTCCCCCAAACTATATTCAGTGAGTTTCTGTTTGTCCCTGCTCTCCAATTCCAACAACTCTTAATACTGAGTTAGCCGAAAAGTTCATTTGAGTTTTCCATGTTACAGGAAAACCCAAATGAACTTTTTGACCAACCCACTAGATATGAACAATGTGAGTGAAAAGCCTGAGACAGAAAGAAATAAGATTGGCGCCAGGGCCAGTGCAGACACTGGCCTGCCTGGAATTAAGCATGTTGTCTGCCGCAGTGCATGTGGATCCACTTCGATGAGATTGAGCAGGGGCCAGGTCTGAAACTAGACACACCCACTGGAGTGTGACAGGCCCATCAGCTGAACCTGGATGGTAGCCCCATCTGGCAGCAAGAACCAGGTTAAATCTATAGCCCGAAGTTACAGGCAGCAATTAAGCAGACCAGTGAAATAGCTGCATTGCTGACTCAGAAAGAGCTTCTTACTGATGAAGAATCCAGAAACTGCCAATAGTTGGATACAAACAGGCAGGTTGACAACCTGTCCCAGGAACAGAGGTCAGTCTCCCACCTCAAGGCTGACGTGTAAGAGAGTAAGCAAGGGCAAGGTAGGGCCTCAGTCCTATAGAAACCGAGCCACTAAGTAAGTTAGCAAAATAGGGATTAAGACAGGGATCTGTTTCAAAATTTGGGATGTTAGGTAGGGAGTGAATTATTACAACAGGACTAGCACTAAGTTTGATGTCAACTATTTGGGAAAGAGAAAGAAACTTGAAATAGGTTTGATGAGTCCACATTTCATAGGGTGCTAAAATCCAGGTAATGAGAATTGTGCCCTCTACACTGATCTTCTCACATGGACATCTCTGCATCCTTGGGCATTACCCCATGGGTTGGCAGTCTTATGCATGCCAGCTGTCTCAAGGAGAATATCTCAAAGGCCCTGAACTATAAAAATATAGAGGTTTAGAGTCAGAAGGATTTTTAGAGGCCCTGTCATCTAACCTCTGAATTTTACAACTGAGAGAGAATCTCGTAAAAATAGATACAGTATGGTGTATTTCAAGATAGGTTATTATTAATAGGAGTTTAACGAGCTCTGCTAGCTTGGTACAAGGCAAGTATAAAAACAGTTCTAGCCTTCATGATACTTGCCCTCTTGTTGGGGAGAACAGATTTACACATGTAAAACTATCATTGAACAAAACTGTAATAAGTATAATTTGTGCATCTGTTATTGTTACAGTGTGGTCTGTAGACCTATGCTGGTCTGAGAAGTGTTTGTACAAATAAATGCATAAACAGAGAGTAAGGCTTAGAAACTTTCACAGCAACCTGACAGGGTAATTTTATGTCTGTTAATCTAATCGTTTTAAATTGTGCTTGTACTTGTTCTTGCTTTCATTTCAATTTTCTAAAATGTCATTTTATGTATTTTTTGAAAGTATTGGTCCATGATGGGTTGGAAATTTTAAAAGAAAAAAATAGTCCTTCACCAAGGGATGGTTTGAGAAGCACCAGCATAGACTCTAAGTGCATTAGGAGTCCAGAAAAAGAAAAAATCAATAAAAGCATGAAGTTACCAGGCAAGAATAGAGCCTTGAATTCTGACGATGCTGTCATTACCTTAAGACATATTGGAAGGTTGACACAGAATGTAATTGCTGTTCAACTCCATTGAAATTGTTTTGTAAAAAGTATTTTCCTCAGCTACACCCAAAAGTCCACGTAGAGAGCTTCATATTTTATCCACTTAAAACACTGTATTTGGGGCTTCCCTGGTGGCGCAGTGGTTGAGAGTCCACCTGCTGATGCAGGGGACACGGGTTCGTGCCCCGGTCTGGGAGGATCCCACATGCCGCGGAGCGGCTGGGCCCGTGAGCCATGGCCGTTGAGCCTGCATGTCCGGAGCCTGTGCTCCGCAACGGGAGAGGCCACAACAGTGAGAGGCCCACATACCGCAAAAAAAACAAAAACAAAAAAACCCCACTGTATTATTTCCAGGGATTTCAGTGCATAAAGAAGCACTTAGTTACTTTTTTTTTATAAGGTCAGCTAATTCTTTTCTTCCAAAAAAAAATTTTCAGTATTTACTGAAAAAGCAAGCGATCAAGAGATCCACAGTTAATTTCATCTTTTTCCTTTTGAAGTATGGTAGGGAAACATTGCCAGTCATGAGACCCATACTTAAAGAAAAAAAAGTATCTGGGGAATTCCCTGGCAGTCCAGTGGTTTGAACTCGGTGCTTTCACTGCCAGGGCCCTGGGGTCAATCCCTGGTCAGGGAAATAAGATCCCACAAGCCACAAGGCACAGCCATAAAAAAGAAAAAAATTATCTGGTGTTATCATGCCATCACCAAAGTGACTCCAAGATTCTGAACAGCCATGAACTGATACCATTTCCAACACTGTGGTCAGTTGGTGGTTTTTTGCAGATACTGTTTTAAATCATTATATTTTCTTTCATTATTTTCAAGTGGATATTGTTAATTTGTTTGTGGGGTGGGATGGTGGTTTTCTTGTTTAAGGTTGGGGCATTTTGCCACCTGAATCCATAAAGGCAATGGCTAGAAGGAATGAAATGATTCAAAGGCAGCATACTGCCAGGTAATGTAACAATGTTGTTTTATTTTCTATTCATTCGCTTGTTTGTTTATTCATTTGTTATATATATACTTTTCTATATATTCATTCATTTATTGTATTTGTGTATTGTTTTTGTATATATTGTTATATTTGTGTATATGTATTCACTGATTTTATATATATATATATATATATATATATACACACATACACACACACACACACACACACACACACACTGATTACTTTCAAAAAGTATTCCAGGAATATTACAAAAAGAAACATATACAAACATGTACACAGGTTGTTTAAGGATAAAAACAAGATTAGAAATTACACAGTGAAGCTAAGTCTACAGATCACAGTAGCTTGTCAATGTCTCATAATTAAAATGCCTAGCTGTGATTCCTTTGAAATGCATACTGGCATTTCTGTCTTAAATGACTTCAGTTCTGCTCAAAGACAGGAGCCAAGCTTGCCAATCCCACTTCAAACTATGCCATTAGAGCCCAGACAGCCCCCTGTCAACCTAAAAGTGGCCTTCAACAGCCAGGAGAAACACACAGCAGTGATGACTAGGTTATTGCTGTGGGCAAGAGAAAGCATCAGTCAACTTTTTCATTGCTGAACATTAAGGGGTCCAGGTGATGACCAATAAGCAAAGTAAAGTAAGCAAAAATACCACCAAGTCTTCCCCCCTTCTCCCTTCCCCAACCCTTACCACTGGCATTAATTTTAACAGTTGAGACTTCTGTGTTTCTTGAGTCTCACTAAAATTGTACTGTAAGGTTTAAAAACTTCTTCCCAAAACTTTAATTTCTTTGAGGATTAATCTCTGGCAAGAAACTAATGCTGTGCTGCATTCTCCCCATCCCTGCTAAGATTGTCACATCCATTAGAGACAATGCTCTAAAGACTGGCCTTAGACTTCCATTGTGAGATTCAGCCAAACCCTTCACCTGTGATCTTACTCCAAACTCTCCTTCCCAGTGGCTCTCTGGGGGATTCGTGTTTACACCTAACAGACTTCAGATAAGTAGCATAAGGACTCAAAAGAAAAGCAGAGGTGCTACAATAGGGAAGGCAGAGGGCCATTAAAATGATATTTCTAATGGTTTTCTTGGGTTTATAAAATATATTGTTCTGTTTTTAGGATGGAAATGGAAATGCATGCCATTTACCAACAAAGGAGAATAGAAAAAGTTAATTCCAAGGGACTAGCAGGCCTAGGGATACCGTTCCTTTATGGCTTCAGTATCCCAGCTGGCCCAGCCACCGACCATGGCAGGAGCATGCTCCCTGCCAGTGACCTGCATGCTCACAGAAGCGCCCTGAGAAACTTTCAGGGAAACCCCATGCTAGTGGCAACTGGTCCACACTTTCTAGAGAGCTGGGGGCAGAAATGTCGTCTCAGGAGAGGTACAGGAAATCAGAAAGTTCTAGACAGCGACACCGAGAGTTCTAAAAGTGGAGTAGAAGAAAAGCTCCTAGGCCAAACCCGTGCAATTCCCTGTGAAGAGAATGAGTATGCAAAAGACCCAGAAACAGACACTCTCAACAATCACAAGTTGGGTGAAACCAAAGAAAAGCCATCTACAGCTCTTGCCCACACCTTTGGAGAGCTGGAGCGCGGCCATGGAAAACCCTGGGGAGCTCATGGCACTCCCCTGGAAGAAAAGGCCTGGGACAATGGGAAGGAGAAGGCTTCAGAGCAGGTTTTGGCAGCCTGTGGTGAAAAGAATGAGGTTTACCCGCCAGTTCCTCGACCATCTCTGCCAGGTAGGTGTCCAGGGGCTAATCCTCATGAACCGCAGGTCATCAAGTCCCTGAAGTTATTACATGGTGAGCTGTAACCACTGTGTTTCTTTTTATCCTCCTTTTTCTTGATCCTACTTAGAATTACCTCCTCTTGAAAAATTTATTACATTAGTTCCAATCAGCCATAACAGTGCAATGTATCTCTGTTTATATATTTGCTATATAGAGAATTTTCAGCAAAGGCTAGGAAGGTAAATATGAGGAAGGATGGGAAAGCCTACCAGAATTTTTAATTAACATTTTAATTTAATTTTTAATTTAATCTAATCTCTTCAACACAAAACAGAGGGGCTTCTTGCTTAAAAGTATGAATTCAATCTCCCCTGTATTTAAGTGTAGAAAAAATAAACAATTAAACAGAAGCTCTTTCAGTGCTCACTACTGCTATGATACTCTCTAACCTAAAAGTATTAACACACTACCCCCTGCCCCAAAAAGACACACTGAATAGTTTTCAAGAACTTCTTTAGATAAAAAATAGTTTAAAACTGGAACTTCTTTAGATAAAAATATTTTAAAACACAGGGATTTGGATATGTGTAATCTAGCCACCATACCAACTGCTTCCCTGACAAAATATTAATTTGCCATTTTGATGAAGATGTAGCTAAATTCTCACATGGCTTAGAGAGCATGATAAATCATGTAACATCATAGAACATGGTAGTATTAATCTGGAGAATGAAATCCACAGGGTATTTCTATTGGAATCTGAGAGAAGCTGGAACTTTGTTTTTATTTATGATAAGGTTGTCATTAAAGATCCTTTAGAGGAAGAAAAGAAAGGAGGTAGCTAAGCTTTTTTAGAAATCATCTCTCAGTAACTCTATCTTTTAAGGGGGTTACGTGTAGATCTATGTAAAGGGACTGCTCTGTGGTAATAGAACATGAGGAAATGAATGTAACTATACAAGAAACTGTACTCTTAGCTTCCCCCGTTTCCCTTTTCCCACAAAATAATTTTCTTTCTGTTTTAAAGGAACACATGTGCTTCTTACAATCAAGGAAAATCTATCTTTGGATGAAGATATTCAGAAATGGACCGTGAATGACGTGTACAACTTCATTAGTGGCCTTCCAGGTTGTTCAGACTATGCTCAGGTGACGCAACATTTAAGTATTTTCTTAAAAGTTAGACACTTTGAAATATACTCCCTTCATAATGAGTTCTGTTGAACTTGATTTTGACCCCAGAGAGCATTCCTAATAATCTCTCCCTTTGTATGTCATTGGCTCCCCTGGAACAGAAGTCTCTGATTGGTGGAGCTTGGGTCATGTGCCCACCCCAGCCTCAGGGGAGGCTGGGAAAGCCAGTGTCTGGCGTTAGTTTCTGTCCCATCAAGGCTCCTGAGATGTGGAATTCTCCCAGAATTAGGAGGTTCAGAGGCCAAACATCCAAGAAGAATGAGAGGTATCTACTATATTCCCTGCTCATCCATTTAGCAAACATTTGGAGGCATGTACTTCTGTATCAGAAGTTTTAGGCTACTCATCGTACGTAACAGAAATATATACTTTATTCTAAAAAGGACAAGAAGGAAATACATCTGAAAAGTTGGAAATTAACTTTTAAAATTCCATTTTTATTCTGGGGCAATATATAAAAACGCCTACACACATAATTTAATCTGGTAGATAAATACCATTTTTTAAATTATAATGAACTATCAGGACAGTTGAAAAGTAAAACTAGCCTCACTTATGGGAAAATTGGAGATAAAAATGGTGGGTTGCCAAGTTTTTGAAGTTTATGTCAGTGCTACATTTTCATGCATATAATTTACTTTTTCAAGTGATTTAATAACATAATTCCAAGCAACAGTGTGCCTACTAAATCTGGTATAACTATCTTTGGTTTATATTTTAAAGTAAAAGAGAGCAAGAAAAGGACATTATGATTTAACTACATCATAAGTAACTGATGTTAGTGATAACTTTTTTCAGATCTCATTTTGTGATATTTTCTTCAGTGTAATGCTGTTAATTTTTTTTAATTTTTCATTTCTTTCTTTCTTCCTTCCTTTCTCTCTTTCTTTCTTTCCTTCCTTCCTTCCTTCTTCCTTCCTTCCTTCCTTCCTTCCTTCCTTCCTTCCTTCCTTCCTTCCTTCCTTTCTTGCTTTCTTTCTTTCTTTCTTTCTTTCCCTTTCTCTTTTTCTTCCTTTGTTCTTTTTATTGGACCAATGGAAAAGTCATATAGAGTAGTGATTAAGAGTATGGTTTATGAAACCAGAAAGTACAAGTTCAAATCCTGGCTTTTCCACTTTCTGGACATGTGACCTAAGACAAGTTGCCTCCCTCCTCAGTGTCTCGGTTTTTTCATCTGTAAAATGAGGATAATAGTATAATACATTTTCAAAGGATTGTTGTAAGCATAAATGAGTGCCTGGCACTCAGTAGATTCTAATTTCCTCATTACCTCAGAGGCTTCTAGAGAAAGCAGAATCTCAAGTTACTTGTGAGGCAAGTTGTATTCTTCAAGTCACCTACTTTGTCTTTTTGCATACCTGCTAAAAAAATTTGTTCTATTTTTGCCTATTCAATGAGTATAACCTTATTATTTTATTACTAGTCATTAACCGTGGGTAAGTCACTTTTTAAATGTATCTATGCCGCTTTTCAAGTGGTACAATGAAGTTACCAAATTCTGATAACCAGAAAGAAGCAACCCCATGTATAACGAACATTTGATTACTGACTTCTGATGGATTGAATCTGTTTGAACTCACTATTTTTAATCAGTCAGTGATTCACAGTCATAAAAATGCAGTTTATAATAACCACTCTTGTAATAAACAATGTTACATGCATTTCATACTTTATAATCCCAGATGTCCCCTTATGGGTATAAAGAAGTCACATAAACACGAAGACCCCAAACTTTGCTGACTCATTATCTCTTGCCAACAGGATGTTGGTGCTTCCTTCCCCACCCCAAGAAGTGGTACAGTTATTTCTAGGTGTTTCTCAAATGTGTTTAGGATCAAGTCCTGCTCTTGTTTCCTCACTAAAGTCAGTTCCCCTCCTAGCAATTGCTGGTGACCTCAACAGCAAGGATGGCACTACTCTGCTGGGCATGACCAGGCTGTGTTCAGTGACGGTGTTCTGTACAGAAATGGGGAGCAACCCCTGGACGCAGCTGGGTGCCGTCTGAGCGCAACAGGCTCCGAAGCAGCACTGCTTGTGCACAACTCTCACAGGAACCCTTGTCTGCAATGTGCCATCCGCTTTTACTCACAGCCCCTGGGACTACTCAGGGCCACACCCCCTGTCCCCTTCTCTGTCCTCTTCTTCCTCACCTCTGCCTTAGGTGCAGCAACCTCCAACCACCCACCTTCTGCAGGTAGAAAAAGAAAATTCAGGAAAAAATAACTGCAGTGAAAATCCAAAGCCCCTTGCAAATGAAATCTTTTAAATAGATGTGAAGAGAGGATGGGTGGTTCAGCCATTTAGGGATATCCAGGATACCCTGTAACACATTTTTTTGGTTCAAAGTCAATGTCTAGTTCAAATAAGTCAGCAGTTAAAGTATTCTCTCTAAAAATAAATGAAATTATTAAAAATACATGCATATTTATATCATGTACTTGGCCCAAACTGCTCTCATGAGAATGAAGTGAGGATATCTTCTGAGTGACAGAGGTATGTTCTGCATCCTTGCCTCAGGCCCAGGGTCCATCCACCATGACTGAAGGTTAGGCCCTCATGCATTTCAGGCCCTGGGTGCCAACCTACCTCTGTATGAAAATTTATCGCTGTGATTTCTCCTTCTTTGGATGAGCTCTCACGGTCCCTTCACTGCTCAATGGAATCCCTACAAAGGAAAGAGAAATTAGGTAAATTTTCTACCATAAATATAGGTAACTATTTTTATCAGCACGCCTTTTGCTGATTGGCAGTTAAGGGTTGATTGGGGTTAAGCTGATTGGGGTTAAGCAGGGAAAATTCTGGATCAGAATCATGAACTATACATTATTTTACAAGTTCTCTAACAGGCAAGCTATGCTTTTTGGGCAACTCACTTAACCTTTTCTATGTTGGTTCTCTCATTTACAAAAAATCATAATAATAGCGCCTACTCTTTATTGGCAGCAGACTATGTGCCAGGCACAGTACTAAGTAAATTATTTAGATTGTCTTTTAAATTTAATCGACACCATACTTCTGCAAAGGAGATACTAACTCTATTTTGCAGCTGAGTAAAGCTGAACTTCAAGGTGGCTAGAGGACTGCTTAAAGAAATGTGTGTGTGACTACAAATCTAGCTCTTTCCATTATAATTACTCTACATTGAGGATATTGGGCCATACGATTTTCGGCCAAGGGTACCTGGGGCCCTAGGAATTCTCAAAGGTGGTAGAAGGTATGCTTAAGTTATTCAAGATATTTAAAAACAACAGACAACCTAAGAAATATCATACATTTCCCCAAAATAAGGCTACACAGACTAACCCAAACTGTCCACTTTTTTGCTTTGGCCCAAATTAAGTTACTTACATTAGCCATTCTACAATTTGCTCAGTTAAAATAGGAAAAGAAATAATTACTTAATAAATATAGTTTGTAAATAACTAAAATCTGTTAGAACACAAAGTTCCTGGTATAGAAGTTTCCCAAGAAGAATCTAATCTTCTGCTGGTCCTGAGGCATGCCCTCCGAGGCACGGAACACACAGTGGAAATGGGACAAATATGGTTCCTCTTCTTACGGAGCTTGTAGTCCAGAAGAGGGGCACCGTAAGGGATTCCACATCAGCGTGACCATGCTGGAGAGGGCAGCTACGGCACCTGGTAGGAACACATGGGAGGGCCTTACGGTTTCCTAGAGGAAGAGGCATCGAAAGTGAGACCTGACAGTGAGGAGTTTACCACCTGAGGGACAACAAGGTGAGAGGGAGGCAAAGGAGGAGTTTCCAGGTGAGGACCAGAAGCCAGAGAGAACTTAACATGGTTGGGATTTGAGAATAATTTTTAGTGGCCAGAGGCCAGGGCCACGGTGGGAAAGGTGAGGATGGCAGGATAGGGGACTGAAGAGGGAGAAGGGATCAGGCCAGAGAGACTTGAAGGATTGTGACTTCATCCTGTAAACAGTCTAGGTTTTAAGGAGGAGTGGCGTGCTTAGCTTTGTGTTTCAGAAAGGTTGCTCAAGTTGCTTTCATGAAAATAGGTTAGATCTTAAAAAAAAGACATTTAAACAAAGCTGACATCTTTTGTGTTTAATAAGGTGTTTAAAGATCATGCAATTGATGGAGAAACCTTGCCATTACTCACAGAGGGGCATCTTCGAAGCACTATGGGCTTAAAGCTGGGGCCGGCACTAAAGATCCAATCGCAGGTAGGGTGATTTTTCGTAACTAAACATGTGTTAATGGTATGAAGCTTAAGAGAAGTATGTTACCTTTATCTTGTTGTAACATTAACAATACATCTTTATTAAGCTTTTTCCCTCTGTGGTTGGGGACATGATAAAAGTGAGGGAACCTGAGGGCTTCCCTGGTGGCGCAGTGGTTGAGAGTCCGCCTGCCGATGCAGGGGACACGGGTTTGTGCCCTGGTCTGGGAAGATCCCACATGCCGCGGAGCGGCTGGGCCCGTGAGCCGTGGCCGCTGAGCCTGCGCGTCCGGAGCCTGTGCTCCACAGCGGGAGAGGCCACAACAGTGAGAGGCCCGCGTACCGCAAAAAAAAACAAAAGGAACCTGAAAACTTTGGACGGGGCATTGGTACACGTTCCTAGTTTTGGTTGGGAAGGCACAAAGCAGTGGTGTGCTGGCCAATGTTTAACAACCTGCTGTCTTTAAAAATGAACCCCGATTTGTAGCATTTGTCAATTTCTGTGGTGTCAGTCCTCCCACCATGGCTGACAAACTCCACATGCAGCGTCACTGAATACAGAATTGGGAAGAGATGCACAGCAGCTCCCCATTTCAGACTATCTTCACCATGTGGATAGCACAAGTGTAAACAACCTCAATAGCAGAGATAATAATAAACAATTATAGTAAAATAAGTAGGTAAAAATAATTAAGTGATAGGTTTAGGGTATTTAATACTTTAGTTTGCAATATAATATATCTAATTGTAACTTTATATAATTTAATTTTCAATACTGGCATTTTTAGCAATTAGCTTGCAAATTTCCTAAAAATATAACAATTGGTCTCAAGAGCTGGAACAAGCCAGCTCCAGAGCACCACTTCTCATCACTACCTCCACTGCTTCATTCTGGTCTAATGCACTGTCTTCTCTCGTTGGATTACTGCGTTAGCCTTCTAACTCTTCTCCCTGCTCTGCCCTTGCCCACCCAGAGCGTATTCACACAGCAGTAAGGAATGATTCTTCTAATACATGAGACAGATCATGTCACTCTTCTGCTCAAATGTCTGCAATAGCTCCCCATTTCTTTCAAAGTCCAAGTCAAAGTCCTATATTATTTGCACTCCTCTCCACCCATCACCACCCTTGCCTTCCTGACCTCATCTTCTAAGTCTCTCCCTGCCAGTTACTGCTTTTGTCAACTCACTTCTGGATGCTGTTTGAACATCTAGACAGGTTCCACCTTCACACTGTTCCCTCTGCCTGCGATGCTCTTCCCCCAACATCCTCATGCTTTGTTCCCTCATCTCCTTCATCTTTGCTCCACCATACCATCTCAGTGAGGTTTGATTGGTTCACCTTACTTAAAATTGCACACGGCCCAGCCCCCATACATACTACTGCTATCCCTTTTTCTGGTCTTCTCTTTTTCCCCATAGCACCCATCACGTTCAGTCACACAATATAATTTATTTATTTGTTATATTTATTTTTATTTTTGATTTCCCTCTGCCCCCACTAGAATGTAAGCTCCATTAGAGCAGAGATCTTTATCTGTTTTGTTGACAGATATAACCTTAGAACATGCAAAACCCATAATAGGTCAATAGTTATTTGTTGAAAGAGTGAGTTTCCTAAAAGTCAAACCAAGAAGCCTGAACTATTCTTTCAGAATTTATACAGTACTTTACTTATTCACAATACATGCTTAGACCAGGAGCTGAGTTTCCAGAATGTCCTTCAAAAACCTTTTTATTTTTCCTAAACTTTTCAGGGTAAAGGAGTTCTTTATTTCTAATGCAAATACTTCAGTGTTTCCATTGATGTTCTTTTTTTCAACTTCTTATTTTGGAATAACTTTAGATACAGAAAAGTTGCCAAGATAGTACAGAGAATTCACCTAGCTTTTGCTAATGTTAACATAATACATGACAGGGCACATTTGTCAAAACTAAGAAATTAACATTGGTACAATATAATATTCACTTTTAAATGATTTATTTTTCTTTCGTGAGGAAACTATACCTCTTGGAGTACTTACAATAACACTGCAGTTTTTTCTCAAATCTGATTTTCTTTGGCTTTGGTTTATCACTTTCGTTGCACTTTTTGTTCTGCTTTGTCCTTACAATGTGGCCAACCCCAAGTCATTCTTAATCTTCTCCTCACTTGCTGCTAGCATTCTTATGCTCCTATCTGATACATATAAGTGCTTTCATGCAGCCCAGCCGAGCTATTATATCCCAGGCCCCATCTACCAGCATGACAGGACTCCCACAGAAGCTGGGGGTGGGGGGGAGGTGGAGGGGGAAGGTCCAGCTGATGCCAGATGTTCAACCAAGCAGAACAGTTGTAGAGTCCTTGGGATTGGGAATTTCCAGGGGTCCCATTGAAGCAGGAAAATTGGAAGGTTCTGAGTAACATCTGAAAGTCCCAGAAGGTGGGCAGGCAGGAATCAGTGGATAACAAAATCTCAGTCTCCAAAATGGGAATCAAGGGCAAAATTCCATTACAGCAAGAACTGCTAAGAAGAAGGAAACCTACCCTCCAGAACAGAAATGTAGAAGGTAGACCGGGACTGAGCACACAAGGAAAGGGGTAGGAGAAGAAAAAGTTACTGGAATTTGAGAAAGATATTATTAGAATGGAGGGAGCTGGGGGTTTGAGCTGTAACAATGTGAACAATATAGAAATCTCCTGGGTCCCACTCGGCATCAGGTTTGTGTAGGAGCCCGCTGGTTAGTACTAGGGCACCAAGTCCCAGCGCAGCCTTATTTATGTCTCAACACTAAGCCCACTGAAGGCCAGTTGTGTGCTAAGGTTCTAAAGAATTCCAGCCTCACCTGGAGAAGGACGGGCTGGGTGTTGGTGAAGGTGAAGTAGGGTGTCTGTGGGAACCTTTGTGGGACCATTGGGAAAGGAAGAGCTAGAGTGAACTCAGAGTGAAATAATTGTGTGTGCAGATGAACCACAGCAGAACCAAGAACAGGAACTGGTAAGCTCCTACCACCTTGATATCCAGTTTTACAATGTAAACACTATGATTCTAAAAGAAAAAGCCCACCACATCCTAGAATTGTGTCCTTCTAGATGTCCCATACCTGAAATTACCTCAGCCTCCCTGCCACCTGTGGCTTAGCAGAGTATGCTGTGTTATTGAAAGAATTCATAGATGTAATTACTATATTTTGTCTTCTAAGGTATCTCAGCATATGGAAAGTATATTCTACAAGAAAAGTCTTTCACTTCCTACCCACACGAAACAAGCATTTGATCAACCAACAGATACAAACCCTCTTTTGGATTTTAATTCCTGGAGTGATACACTGGACATTCCTTGTTCCCAGGATATGATCATTCCTAAAAGAACTAAGCGAGATACTATGAGAAATTAAAACCCTCACGGAGCAAGAACAGTCTTAATCGGTTTTCTGAAAAGTCTGGCATATTCTGAAGGGTGTGCGGGGGTTTCCCAGGACCAGATGGCGGCTCAGAGGGAGAGAAAGCCCACCCTCCTGAGCTCTCTGGGAGGAGGCCTCGCCCAGGCTTCCTGAGGTGACCACATCACAAAGTAGCTGGAGGCATATCCTTAGAAGCAAATACTAAATGAAGGATAGAATTTGCAAACATCAAATTTGTATATATAAAGAGGTCTATTTCTTTTTTTTCCTTCCAGTTTTATTGAGATACTATTGACATAACAGCACTGCATAAATTTCAGGTGTACCACATAATGATATGACTTAAATACATCATGAAACAGCTGTCACAATAAGTTTAGTGAATATCCGTCATCCCTTATAGATACAAAATGAAAGAAACAAAGTTCTTCCTTGTGATGAGAACTCTTAGGATTTACTTACTTAACAGCTTTCATATATAACGTACAGCAGTGTTCATTCTATTTATCATGTGGTACATTGCATCCCTAGTACTTATTTATCTTACAGCTGGAAGTTTGTACCCTTTGACAACCTTCATTAAAGAGGTCTATTTCTGATTTTCAAAAAAAAAAAAAAAAAAGAAAGCTATAGTTGGATGTTTCCACGAGGATATCTGTGCAGAAGCCAGAAGAGCTGACACTGAAAAACAGAGCTCCTAACTGTCTTCACTGGCTTCCCATCCCCCAGCCCAGAGAGAGACAGAGGCAACCCAGTGGAGCCAGAAGGAGGAAGAAGAGAATGTGAAGTACAAAATAGAGAAATAGAGGAGCTGAGCACAAGGCCCCAGCTTTTCTCGTGGCAGGCTTTCAGCCTGAAGGAAGCTGGAGAAAGGAACGGGCAGAAGCTCGAACCTTAAAATTCAGAGTTCGACTGTTACTCAGCATTTTCCTTCTGATATGAAACCATGTTATGACTAAAAACAACTGGAGGACTCCTTATGACCTGAGAGGGAGAGGAAAGGGCATAGTGACCACCTCCTATTTCACCCAAGAGGTGGGGAAGAGTTACCTCCTCAAAGCAGTACTGAACTGGCAAGATCGAGGGGAGACGATGACGGCAGCTTCTGCGCGTGCCCCGTGGAATCCCACTCTTTCAACTTCACATTTAACAGAAAGACTGTGAAAGGATCCGCAGGGAGCTGATAAGCGTTTGCTCAAGGAGGGTATTGGGTGACAGCGGTGTGAGGGAGACTTCTTACTATATACCCTCTGGTACATTTTAAATTTTAAACTATGAGAACGTATTTTCTGTTTTTAAAATTTATATTTAAAATAAACTGGGACTTCCCTGGTGGTCCGATGGTTAACACTCTGAGCTTCCACTGCAGGGGGCATGGGTTCAATCCCTGGTCAGGGAACTAAGATCCCCCACGCCGTGGGGTGCGGCCAAAAAACAGAAAAAATAAAATAAAAATATAAACTGTGGTAGGCAGCTTCTAAGATGGACGCCAGTTACCCCTGCTTCCTGATGTTCATACCTTGTGTGATTCCCCTCCCCTTTGGGGTGGGCTGCAGTTATGACTCTTTCTAAGGGATAGAAGATGGAAGACATGACGGGGTGTCACTTCTGTGGCTTCTGTCACAGGTCCTCTCTCTCATTCTCTTTGGATTGCTCGCTCTGGAGGAAGCCAGCTTTTCTGTCTGGAGGCGGACCTGTGGAGAGGACGGTGTGACTGAACTCGGCAATATATCTTCTGAGGCCTGCCAATAGCCACGTGACTCTTCTTCCAGCTCCTGCCCACAGCTTGACGGCAGCCTTGTGGCTGACCCTGAGCCAGAGTCCCCCAGCTAAGCCGCTCCTGGGTTCCTGACCCACAGAAACTGTGGGATAATAAGTATGTGTTGTTTCCAGCCACTAATGGAATAATTTGTTTTGTAGCAATAGATTCCTCAAACAAACAAATTGCATTGATAAACATAGCGTGCTTCCCATCTTCACTTTTTGATTTGGAAGATGGGCTTTTGAAGTCATTGCCCCACAAGCCATGTTAATTTAGTTGATCTTTGCTTTCTTTCATTTTTAATGTGAAAACAACAGGGTTTTTTCCTGACATAAAGTTATATTTTACTATCAAACATGCTTGTGGACCAAAGAGGGAGTATTGGTAACTTTGAGGGGAGAGAGAGAGAAAGAGAGAGAAAGGCTCAGAGAGAGAAATAATACTTTCAAATTTCAAAATTTTAAGAACTGTTTTGTCACATAACCTTTCACTTGCTGTAATTCCCAGCATATAAAAGTTTCACAAGGTGCCAAACGTGAGTTAACAGGTGTTATGGTGTGGGATAAAAAGAAAGCTTAATTAATACTTTTAGTGGCAAAGGGATCATGGGATTCCATCCATATGATGGCTTTTGAATTTCTTTTCCCTGCTAAATGAGTCAATTGAGTTGGTAACTGATTCACTTGAACAGATGTGTCTCAATGTTACTCTAAGGAAAATGTCCTTATGTCATCCTGGCATGTACTATCACCAAAAAAAGCACTGTGCTTAATTTTAGAACCATGCATAAAAAGAGAACCACGTAAAGGAGGCTCTCCCCAGCTCTCAGCACTCTTCTTTGGAAGAAAAGGAGACTGAAGTTGCTTGTCCACACTAAGATGATTCTTTCCAGATTCATGACTCTAGGCTACCTTTTAACAAAAACCCACTTTAGTAATCAAAATTATATTGAAGGGTGAAAATTTTACTCATATTATCATATAGAAATAGTTTTTAACTCTTCTGCAAATTCAACTTTAGTCTTGATTGTACTGTGTACCCTTTGGGAGAATAAAATAAAGAACAGCAAAAACAACAACAAAATTCTCATGTTTGAAAAATAATCACAATAAAAATGTGTTTGCTAAATAGGCTCTTCTGACTTATGAAACATTCTGTTTAGACAAGGGGAATAAACATCCATATAATGGAGTACTATGTAACTGTTCCTCTATGGAAGTATTAAACAGCTATTAAAAAGCAATAATAGAATTCAAATATCACCACTTTGCACCCCTAAAAACTAAAGGACCTAAACAGTGATCATAAATGACTATTAACACCACAAAAAGAGAAACAACCAGACATTATATGCCTCCTCATGGAAGCTTATGAAACTGTTACGAATATAGCAAAATCCAAACTGGGGGAAACTGTATAGTAGAAATGACCTGATCTTCTTCAACAAATAAATTGCAAGGAGAAACAGAGAAAGGGAAAAGGGAAACCAATAGATTAAAAGATACTAAAGATTTAAATCACCCAGATGTAAAAGTTTTAGGAACAGGTGGTGATGATGGTGGTGAATGTTATTATTGCCACTGAACCGTACACTTAAAATTGGTTAAAATCACAAGTTTTATACATATTTTACCACAATAAATTTTTTAAAGGTTCATATCACCAATACAATTATTTGGATGCCTATTGAATATATTGTTTAAAAAAAAGAGAAATAATTGGGGAAATTTGAACATGATTGATGATATTCACTTCTATTAAAGAATTATTGTCTGTTTTTTGGATGCAGTAATAGTGACATTTTTATTGTGGTAAGAACATTTAACACGAAATCTTTCCTCTTAACAAATATTTATGTGCACAATACAATATTGTTAAGGCACACTGTCGTGTAGCATATCTCTAGAACTTAGTCATCTTACCTAAGTAGTTTTTTTTTTTTTGAGTTCTTATCTCTTAGAGATGTATACTGAAATATGTACAGATAAAATGATATATATTGGATCTGGGATTCGATTTTACCTGACCTACAATCTAATAAATTATCCACTTATTCTTTTATGGAGCCTGGCAGAATACTCAAGACCCTTGGGTCAGAGACAAAGAACTTTATTACTCATGACACAATAAGCAGCACAAACATTAGCATATTTGTTTTGGGTCCCCTTGCTCTCGGTGCCACCGGGGTAACACAGATGGATGGCTGCACGTGCAGTGGGTTGCTTCACAGCTGTGGAACACTGAGTTTGGGGAACTCACTAGTCTTACAGCAAACAGTAAGAGCAAGAAAGACCTACTGTTTGTCCAGGGGTGGGAGTGGAGGGTGGAGGGGTGGGGAGGAGATGTTACCTCATTTCTTAAAGTTACTTAGTACACAGTCAACCTTGAGAAATGGGCCTGGTGAAAGCAGTCAGGGCCTTGGCATCTTGGTCCATCCAGCAAGATCTGTAGGAACATAAGAGGCCCAAAGAAGAGTCTCTCTCCCAACAATATCATGACATGAATTTGCTTCAAAAAATCCATTGAGAAATGAGCCTTTGGTAAGTCAGTGGGAGTATAGTGAAACAAGTTTGGCCATGAGTCGATACTTGTTGAAGCTGGGTTGTGAGTATATATGAGTATATAAGGTCCACTGTACTCTTCACCGTTTTTTTGTATATGTTTGAACTTTTCCACAATAAAAGTTTTTTAAAAATCTGTTTACTAAAGAGTTATCTTATACAATATGTATGGATTCCAATATTTTTTAATAGAATATGCAAAAATACATATTTGTTATTTTTAATTTATGGAATATTTTGTTCTGCCCAATAATACTAAGAATATACTTCAAGCAAATGCTATTCCTCATTATGGTAAATATATACATTGTCATCTCATTACAAATATACGAAAGGTCTGTTTTATAGAGAGTTGTAGTCAATTTACGGTACTTTTCCAGCCTGTCCTCTGCCAAATGAATGTGTCTTCACGTAAGCCAACAACATGAGGTCCAAGGTCTTCGATGTATCTGCTAAGAATCCTGAGATGTCATTGTACAGCTGTGAAAAGTTAATCTCCCCAGGAAAGGTAAGAGTTCACTTGAACATCATTGGGTGCCATTTTGAAAAAAATTAGAATGCTTTTAGGTTGTGCATATATATTTTTTAAACTAAACTTCTAATGTATCTCACCACTACCACCCTCATTCCCTAAGGGGTGGATTTTATTTTGCTAGTTAGAGTGACAAAAAGTTTACTGATTGTTTAATTGAATTAGATTATTATCTCTTTCATTTTGCTAAGAAGTTATTCTCATCAAATAAAACAAAAGCAGGGACTTCCCTGGTGGCACAGTGGTTAAGAATCTGCCTGCCAATGCGGGGGACACGGGTTTGAGCCCTGGTCCGGGAAGATCCCACATGTTGCAGAACAACTAAGCCTGTGCACCACAACTACTGAGCCTGTGCTCTAGAGCCCGTGAGCCACAACTACTGAGCCTGCGTACCACAGCTGAAGCCCGCACACCTAGAGCCCATGCTCTGCAACAAGAGAAGCCACTGTATGGACCTAAAGTCTGTCATATAGAGTGAAGTCAGAAAGAGAAAAATACCGTATGCTAACACATATATATGGAATCTAAAAAAAAAAGAGAAAAAGAAAAAATGGTTCTCATGAACCTAGGGGCAGGACAGGAATAAAGACGCAGACGTAGAGAATGGACTTGAGAACATGGGGAAGGGTAAGCTGGGACGAATTGAGAGAGTAGCACTGACATACATACACTACCAAATGTAAAATAGATAGCTAGTGGGAAGCAGCCTCATAGCACAGGGAGATCAGCTGGGTGCTTTGTGACCACCTAGAGGGCTGGGATAAGGAGGGTGGGAGGGAGATGCAAGAGAGAGGGGATATGGGGATATATGTATACATAAAGCTGATTCAGTTTGTTATACAGCAGAAACACAACATTGTAAAGCAATTATGCTCCAATAAAGATGTTAAAAAAAAAAAGCCACCGCAATGAGAAGACCGTGCACCACAACCAAGAGTAGCCTCCGCTCGCTGCAACTAGAGAAAGCCCGCACGCAGCAGCAAAGACCCAATGCAGCCAAAAATAAATACATACATAAATTTAAAAAAAACAAACAAGAAACAAAACCAAAAGCAAGGATCTCAAATACCTTGTTACTGTAAACAAATTTATCACCTTTTTTCCTAGTTCAGGCTGCTATAATAAAATACTATAGACTGGGTGGCTTATAAGCAACAGAAGTGTATTTCTCACAGTTCTGGAAGCTGGAAATCCAAGATCAGGGTGCCAGCACGGTCAGGTTCTGGTGAGAGTCCTCTTCCAGGTTGCAGACTGCTGACTTCTCATTTTATCCTCACATGGTAGAACTCAGAAAGCTGGAGCAAACTCTTATGACCCTTCTTAGAAGGGCATTAATCCCATTCTTGAGGGCTCTACCTTCATGACCTCATCACCTCCCAAAGGCCCTACCTCCTCATACCATCACATTGCGGGTTAGGATTTCAACATGAATTTTGGAGGAACACAGTCTATAACACCTTCATAGGCCCATTTTCCGTTAGTCTTCTCTCAACATTCTTGGGTTCTTTGATGTCTAAAACATTAGTCAGCAATCTCAGATGCCCTTCTGTGTCTTTTTGGGATAGGGGAAATAGCCAAATTTCTGAACTTTTTTTTCACAGTTCCACTCCTGTATAGAGAAGAGCTAATTTCACTTCAAAAAGGATGTTTCTCTCCTAATAGGCTGGGCCACGAGCTTCCTTGAATCACAGACTAGAAATGCCTTTCAACTGCTCTTTGAACACTGCATAATGTCCTGTGGAAGCTAGAAATTTCAGTGCTTTCTATATGGGACAGGTAGATAATTTGTTGAACGCTCAACTTGTTTCTTGACATTTGTGAGACTAACCCAACCAGTTTTGTGAAGGAAGCACAATATTTGTTGGAGTTATGTCAAATGCAGTGCTGTGTTTTGCCTTGATAACAGAACTCTGCTGCAGTTATTTTTTTTTTTTACTTTCAAAACAGGTATGATAAGTGTTTATGAAAAGCATTTGTATAATTTAATAAATAGTGGGAAACAGTTCCCTGATATTTTCAAAACTTCAGTTGCAGACCTCTACTAGGGCAACATCTTTTTCATACATTTAGGTCCCCAGACACTGAATAAATAGAAACAGCTTCATTCCAAGCTGCAGAAAGAAATTTGGTCCATGTTAGGTTTTTTTTTATGAATTAGATGATGATCAGGTGGTTCATTGTGTTAATGAGATTGGAGTTACTATTGTAGTCTAATAGTTGGTTTAGAATCCTTTAACACTCAGCTTTTCCTAAATTATCATCTTGGCTCTTCGTGCTTTAACACCAGTGGCTACCACTAAAACCACTCATTTAGTTGAGTAAGCAAATAAATATTCACAGCACAGGAATCAGAATGAACCATCCCAAATCTGGTTGTATAGGCTATATATAAGAAAGATATCAACAATTCCAAAGAATAAATCTATAAGAGGCAACATTTTTAGTCCTGGGAGAATATGAAAAAAAGTCTTTATTCCAGGCCTGATGACTGCTCCCATGCTAGAGGCATAAAAAAATCATTACTCACCAGCCTTTGTCTACACTCACCAACTCTTTAGGTAAATCATGTACGGAATAGATTCTAAGCATTGCTTCCCTCATAGAGAACTTTCCAAAGTGAATGGTCTGATTAAGTTACTTCTTATAATTACTATCCCTAAAGCACTCGTTAATTCATAAATCAGGGCTTTCTTTTAAAATTTAGGATGAAGAATAACAATAAAATGCAAGTATTCTTGTGAAGACTCACTTTTCATGTTTGAAATCTTTAATTTGAAATAATTTTTCAATTATCTTATTTTAGGGTGGTGTATCAATTAGGATATTCTATGATGCAAATGACAGAAAACCCAATTCATACTGGCTTAAACTATAAAAAGGAGCTTGTTGGATCTTGTAACTAAAAAGTCTAAATGTTCGGCTTCAGGCGAGGCTTATCCAGCGGTTCAAGTGATGTCACTGAGGATCCAGTTTCTCTTTGTGCTGCCTTCCTTTGACTCCAATGTTAAGTTCTATAGAAGTGGCTTCTGAGCAGTTCCAGGGCCTCTTCTCCTGATAGTGAAATGCCTCTAGCAGTCAAGACCTAATATTCTCAAATCACAGGATAGAAAGGAAGAGCATGTCTCTTCTAATAGATTCAAACTCCTGGGAGTCACTCAGTTTCATTGATTCCTTTGGCTCCTGTGCCCAATACCTATGAGCTGGATACAGATTGGTTCATCCCTAAAGCCTGAATTTGTACATGTATTTTAGCTCCTTAATTTTGTTTTTCATTTGTAATATCTCATCTAACTCTTTTGGGTATTAGCCCCTTGAAAGCAACTATGGAATCTAAATTTCTTACACTATTTCAAAGTACCCACAACAATGAATGCTCAACAAATGGAACTGAATTATATGTAGCAATGATCATAATGATCATTCTTTTATTTATGCACTGTCTCTAACATCCCAAAGTACTTTGTAAAAAATATGTTAGAGTCACAGGATGACGAATGTTCTCCATTGGGAGTGGGAGGAAAGATAAGTTAGAGTGTTTATTTATTCCTTGGGTTACTTTCCTGCAAGTCTGCTTTCCTCATAAAGCCCACAGCTCCTGTCAGGCAGCCCTCTCTAGAAACAACAGCTATGGCCCTTCCTAAGTTCCGGATTGTGGGAAACCAGCCCCTCCTCTTGTCATTTCAGGCTGGGGGATGAAAAGGTTTCCTGCTATTGCTAGTTCTTGTTGGTTTCCCTTAACCCCACTCACACCTGTGTAATTGGTCCTTCATTAAGCTCTCCTCAATTATCTGGTTTAAGTGTGCCATTTGTGTCCTGCCAGCATCCTGACTTACACACACATACACTGTTAGAAAATCAAACTCAAACTGCCTTAAATCATCAATGGAATTTATTGAATCATGCAGCTAAAAAAAAAAGATGTCTTGCTTCAAGTCAGTGCAGTGGCTCAAATGACGGCATCAAGGCAATTAGAACTGGAAGAAACTTTATTAATCAGATTGTTATCTTGATTATAATATAATTAAATTTGTGTGCAGGAGGGATGAAAGGGTTTTTTTTTGTTTGTTTTGTTTTGTTTTTGGGGTTTTTTGCTCCGTTTTGCACTAAAGAATAAGGAAAATAGTTTACTGGCCCACTTGTTTCTGAATCCTATGTTAGCACTCTGTAAACATTTGAGATAAATAAATGAGAACCTTCAGAGGCCAAAAGCAAAACTAACTCCACAGAACTATATGGAACCTAAAGGAAGAATAATTGCTTCATCATTTTTATTTTTGCACATCATTAACTCTTTTATTCACAGTACCTGACACAGTAAACTGATGGATGATGGAAAGTAGTGACTAGCTCTTTTCTCTCACGTGATGCTGGAGATGGTATAGCAACTGATGTACCTCTCTGTTCCCAAACACTTGCTGGCCATTCCTGTCGATTTCGTGTAGTGGAGAGACTGCGGAAGACCAAGGGCACTACTAGTAAATGATTTATAGTAACCAAGGACAGCGAAACATGCACTAGTTTTAATTTTTTCAAATAAAAAGACTTTCACTCTGTACACAGTATTTCCAATAACACTATAATGTCAAAGTTAAAGAACAAGATAACATAAAGTATGCTTAAAAGTTTCTCGTTGTTTCAAGCACTTTGTTTTTCCCTGTGAACAATGGACAATTGTGCCTTTAAACTGAAATACTTGTATGAGATTTAACACAGCTGACTTTCTCTCAAAAAAAAAATTCATCTTTTACACTTTCTAAGTTAGGAAAAGATTATTTAAATGTTTTTGATTCTTTCATTTATTTCTTTTTTAGGTAACCAGTGAGTGTGTCTCTGTTGTTCCATGCTATGCCAGTGACAGCAGTTTGTCCCTTATTTAGCATGGACAAGTATAACAATCAAGAGAGTAATGTGACCATGAGAATTAATGCAAAGCACTTGCTGCCCAAGAGGCAGTAGCTGGGGTAAGATAGGGCCATGGGAATACAAGAACAATGCCCTCCTCGTCCATGCTCCCACCCAGCCAGGGCTTCCCAGAAGCCAGACCTTTGGGGGAGGTGAGAGACCACCAAGGACACTTCAACCATAGCCCACTTGGCTCTCTGAAGAACCCACACAGCATGTCTTAGTCAATTTTTTAAATTAAAAATAACTTTTTTCCCTATTCCAAAAGCAATGCATGTTTATTATGCAGAATGTAAACATTTAAGATTAACAAAAAAAGAAAGAAAGAAGGAGGTAGGAGAGAGTAGCCTTTAATTACCCCTCTTAGGAATGACCATGGTTAACATTTTGGTGTATACGCAAAGCTCACTCACTCCTTGTCTCCCTCTCTTTCTGGGATTTTACTATGAATATCCTTTTGAATATCTTTATACACCATTAATTTAATTCATCTTTTACTCCTCACAGAACCTAACACAGTCCTGCAAGAGGAGGTATTCAATAAAAGGATGAATGGCTGAATGTCCGAATCAGCGCCTTTTATTCATATGCTGCTGGAGGTTAATATAGCAACTGCTGCACCACTCTGTTCCCACGTGCCTGCCAGAGGAGTACCAGGTATTGGGACTTATCTGAAACCATCAAGAAATCACAGTATTTGCTAACTCCACTAGAAAACCCCTCCTTAAAAGGAATGCTTCACAAGTGACAGAGCCCTTAACTTGGAGCTAGAAGATATAAGTTTGAATTACAATTGGTCATTTTACTTCTCATTTTACTTCTTTAAGCCTCCATCTTCTAATCTGTGAAATGAAGGCATTGACCTATGATGTATAGGATCCCTAGCAGTTAATATTCTATGCTATCTATATATGTCTGTCTATCCATCCATCCATCCAACCGAACACACATACATGTATGTGTGTATATATTTAAAAAATTTTTTTAGTGAAGAAAGGACCCAGGTGCTAGGCCGTGAGATGCTAGTATGACAAAATCTGGTTTTGTTTGCCTGTTTTGTAAAAACTGAAAGTCTTATAGGAAACCCAGCCAACATGCTTTTCCATGCCCACAAACACTCTCTGTGGCTAAACTGGGAAAATCAAAAGCATGAAAACCAAAAAACCAAAAAGAAAAATAGAAAATAATGAAAGTATCTCTCTACATGTGGCTTTTATTAATTCTCAGATTCTCAGATGATTGTTGTATTCTGTCTGAGGCTCCTTTTCTTGTTTCATAGCTTTACACTCTGTTGTGTCATTTTCAAAATACTCCCTCCCCCCATTTCCAAGGTTACAAGCAGAGAATAGCTCTTCACTGATCTGTGAACAATGAGCTCTGTTTGGTAAGAGAACTTGACAACTGAAGCAGAAGAAATCCTAATATCAAAACAGGTTGAGACAGGAAAATGATTAGTAACTCAAGTGTCTGGGTGGAAAGGGAGTATGAACTATCACCTCCTACCCATTCCTTCCCGTCAAGCTTTGAGCCATTTTAAAACCCCATACCGATTCCTGAGAGCATTGAAGAAATGATGTGTTTCCAACATGTTCTGGCTGATGCTGAGGGCTCCTTCCCACATGTGCTTCTTCACCCTGCCTAAGCAGAGGGGATGTTAAGCATGGTGGAGGGGACCAGAGGGAACCATACTTAGAAAACCCTGCTGCTAGAAGTTTGTCCATGCAAGCGCACCGAGGCTTTCGGAACTCACCACCTCCAGAGTGTTTGCTTTTTCCAAATGATCATTCGGAACAGGTTTGTTCATTCCTAATACAGGTGAAATGCACCCAATTCTTACTTCCTCTAACTTGGGACATTCTGCCCCTATGCTTGTAGCACCATGCTAAGCCTGGCTGGAAATGTTGTCTTTGATTCCTAGGGTCTAGGCCAGGCCTTGCTGACCCAGCTATCACTGCTGTGGCCCCCAAATGGGAGGTGTGCTTAACACCTGGGCCCTCCTATCCCTGCAGTGGTGGGGAGCCACTGCTGCTTCCACCTTGGCTAATAAATGCTGCTCCTCTTCCCCCTTCTTTTGCTTTTTTTTTGTTTGTTTGTTTGTCTTTGGGTTTTTTTTTTGCGGTATGCGGGCCTCTCATTGTTGTGGCCTCTCCCGTTGCGGAGCACAGGCTCCGGACGCACAGGCTCAGCGGCCATGGCTCACGGGCCCAACCGCTCCGCGACATGTGGGATCTTCCTGGACCGGGGCACGAACCCGTGTCCCCTGCATCGGCAGGCGGACTCTCAACCACTGCGCCACCAGGGAAGCCCTTCTTTTGCTTTTTAAACTTAAATTTTTTAGTTTAAGAAAAGTAGTGCATAGGGTCACATGGCTCAAGAGGGTAAACCATGAAAAACCTGTTCCATCCCTGTCCTCCAGCCACTAATTGCCCTCCTGTAACAAGCAAAAATGTACATCTATTTTTTCACCCTCTTTTTACGCAAATATTAACATACTACATTTGAGAGGGTTTTTTTTTCATGTAACAAAATATTACACTGTTGCCAGCAATGAGTGAGTGCCTGTTATTCCAGCTCTCAACAACTTTTTTTTTTTTAAGTTGAAATACAACTGATTTACAATGTTGTGTTAGTTTCAGGTGTACAGCAAAGTGATTCGGTTTCATATATCTATTCTTTTTTAGATTCTTTTCCATTATAGGTTATTACAAGATAATGAGTGTAGTTCCCTGTGCTATATAGTAAGTCCTTGTTGGTAATCCATTTTATATATAATAGCATGTATATTTTAATCCCAGAGTCCTAATTTATCCCTCCCACACACACAGTTCTTTTCATTAATACACTAAGCAACTTTTACCAAGAGTCACACTAAAGCCAGAGGTCTGTGTTCTACATCAGAGGTAAGTGCTACATCAGCGATCTAAAATCTATACATCCTCTGAAGCTAGCACTCTGTTTGGGTCTGACTTACCAGATCAGGCTCCTTTTTCTCTTATCAGGAGCTCCCATTGCTCTCATGCCCCACATTGTTCCTTCCGAAACTCTGGTCCCCATGAGGACCACATCCATCACACATGTTGTATACGCCTTCACAGAGTTCAAGGTCTTTTTCTTGGAAAGATGTTCAGCCACAGTGCAGATCCGTGGATGCAAACAGATTCATAGTGAGAGATGAATCTTCTCTATGATCCTCTCTACAAAACCATACAAGTTCTTTTCCAGATCAGCCCCAATTAAAAAAAAAAATCAGCTCCTCAGATATCACAAAAGGAAGCAGTTCTTGGGGGTGGGGTGGGGAGGGGGAATGGAGATTACAGTACCCAAAGGTCGTCATATTAATTCTCATTCACAAACCATTCCTAACTGATGGTCTCCAGAGAGTCAAGCCAAACTGATCATTTTAAAAGTAAATAAATAGTGGCTGTATCAATTTACATTCCCACCAATGGTGCAAGAGGGTTCCCTTTTCTCCACACCCTCTCCAGCATTTATTGTTTGTAGATTTTTTTTGATACATCCACTATGCAGAACAATATGGAGGTTCCTTAAAAAACTAAAAACAGAACTACCAGATGACCCAGCAGTTCCACTCCTGGGCATATACCCTGAGAAAACCATAATTCAAAGAGAGACATGTACCACAATGTTCATTGCAGTACTATTTACAATAGCCAGGATATGGAAGCAACCTAAGTGTCCATCAACAGATGACTGGATAAAGAAGATGTGGCACATATATACAATGGAATATTACTCAGCCATAAAAAGAAACAAAACTGAGTTATTTGTAGTGAGGTGGATGGACCTAGAGTCTGTCATACGGAGTGAAGCAAGTCAGAAGGAGACAAACAAATACCGTTTGCTAACACATATATATGGAATCTAAAAAAAAAGGTTCTGAAGAACCTAGGGGTAGGACAGGAATAAAGACGCAGACATAGAGAATGGACTTGAGGATACAGGGAGGGTGAAGGGTAAGCTGGGATTAAGTGAGAGAGTGGCATGGACATACATGCACTATCAAATGTAAAACAGATAGCTAGTGGGAAGCAGCTGCATAGCACAGGGAGATCAGCTCAGTGCTTTGTGACCACCTAGAGGGTTGGGATAGGGAGGGTGGGAGGGAGACGCAAAAGGGAGGGGATATGGGGATACATGTATACATATAGCTGATTCACTTCGTTATACAGCAGAAACTAAACATTGTAAAGCAATTATACTCCAATAAAGATGTTAAAATAAATAGTAAATAAATAATTGAATGAATAAACTATTTCTTACAATATTATCCCAATTAATATATGTAGAAGGAATGTTGACAATAGAAAATCAGCATTTAGCAACAGAAATAATTATTTCAGGCAAAGATAATTAATGAGTGCTAAAATGAGTGGGCAAAAGTATGATGAAAAGCAGAATATTTACATAAAGTATCCTCTCTTAGATGCTAATTAATTTCAACTTGTAACTTGACAGCAGTGAAACCTGGCAAAAATGCCATCTTAACTAAGTGATCAAGGTTAGCATCACCAGTGATGGAACACGTCAACTATATTCCTCCTGATAGAATGTACTGAGCAGGGCACGATGTCACTTTTGTGACATTCTTGCCAAAAATTCATAGCCTGAATATAATCATGAGGAAACATCAGTCAAACCTAAATGAGCAACATTTTACAAAATAACTGGCTAATACTCTTCAAAGAGTCAAAGAAAGGCAAAGAAAAACTACTGTTTCATTGTCATGAAAGACAAAGAAAAACTGAGGACCGGCCCAGATTAAAGACTAACAAAGCATGAAAACTAAATGCAGTCTAAGATCTGGGATTGAATCCTGAGCAAAAAAAGTAGTAGGACAGGACAAAATTTGAATAAGGTCTGCAGATTACTTAGTAGTACTCTGTCAAGTTAATTTCCTGTTTTGAAAATGGTACTGTGGGGCTTCCCTGGTGGCACAGTGGTTGAGAGTCCGCCTGCCGAGCAGGGGACGCGGGTTCGTGTCCCGGTCCGGGAGGATCCCACATGCCACGGAGTGGCTGGGCCCGTGAGCCGTGGCCGCTGAGCCTGCGCGTCCGGAGCCTGTGCTCCACAACGGGAGAGGCCACAACAGTGAGAGGCCCGCGTACCGCGAAAAAAAAAAGAGAATGGTACTGTGGTTACACAAGATGTTAACATTTGTAGAAGCTGGGTGAAGAGTACATGTGTATTCTTCTATTTTTTCTCAACTTTCTCTTAAGTATGAAAATATTTCAAAATGAATAGTTGAAAAAATTAAAAATAAATTCTAAAAAACATGGTTGAGAAAAATTCATTTATTATAATATTGGTTTGTGGACAGAGTAAAAAATACATATTAATTAAAAGAAATATCTTCACTCTTGAATTTAAGACTAGACAAGCGAGCTTTTTCTTTGATTAGTCATGTGTAGAATTATTCAGGCATTTCTTAAAATCACTCTAAACTCTCAGCATATACTTTATTACCAAAAGTTGAAGTTCAGTATAGCAACTGTACGTAAAAGTACTTAGATAATCTTGGTCTGTCCTTGTCACAATATCAATAGACCTCTGCTGGGAACTGTTTTATTATGACAACCGAGCACTAAATTCTCTAATCTTCAGGTCAGCAATTCCTGAGTGTATAGAAGAAGAAAGTTTTCCATTTGGCAGATGGAAAATCAAGATCCCCAAATCCCTCTCCTTAGGAAGTAGAGCTTAGGAAAAGAGCCTAGTACTTTTTTGCTGTTTGCTCTGAAATATAGCACTTTAAATGAACCGAGTTCATTTCCATTGGGGTTAGGGGTGACCCTGCATAACTCAGAAGCAACCTGTAGGGGAAAAAAAAAAAGGCAAGTACAGTCATGGGAAGCAGAAGATTTTACATGTCACGTAGGAATATAAAATGTTATATTCAGTAGTTTCTTATATAGATATACAAAAAAATTGAATAACTACGGGGGGGGGGGGGAGGTAGACCCATAATTACCACAGCCTCCACCAGATTATTTAGATAATTACCTAAAAGTTAACATATCTACTCCGTAAGATTTACTGGCCTTTTGTTCTTTTCATTTCGGAGAAATCAGCATTACTGGACCAGTTCTTGACCACAAGTGCTGTCTGAAAATTTTCTGAGGACAATATAATGTGAACAAAAAATTAATAGTTGATCTAAAAAAGAAATGGAAAATTTTATTCGAGCCAAACTGAGGATTATAACCAAGGAGACAGTCTTTCAGAAAGCTCTGAAGACTGTTCTGCCCATTAGAGATCAAAACACAATTATATAAGTTTTTGAGACAAAGGGTTATATGTCAAATGACTATTGACAATTTACATAATCCAGATCTATACATACAAAGCAAGTAGTGGGTCATGCTAACTAGTTTCTTGTTTTTTGTTTTTTTAAAATTTATTTTTGGCTGCATTGGGTCTTCGCTACTGCACACGGGCTTTCTCTAGTTGTGGTGAGCGGGGAGCTACTCTTCGTTGTGGTGTGTGGGCTTCTCATTGTGGTGGCTTCTGTTGTTGCGGGGCACAGGCTCTAGGCGCACAGGCTTCAGTAGTTGTGGCACGTGGGCTCAGTAGTTGTGGCTCATGGGCTCTAGTGCGCAGGCTCAGTAGTTGTGGCGCATGGGCTTGGTTGCTCCGCGGCATGTGGATCTTCCCAGACCAGGGCTCGAACCCGTGTCCCCTGCATTGGCAGGCAGATTCTTAACCACTGCGCCACCAGGTAAGTCCCATGCTTGTTACAAGATTAAGAAGGAATATTATTTCCTAAGGAGGGCTGGTTAATGCAGATCCACAATACACACTAAAGGGAAGGTAGGAGGCCCAAACCGGCAAAGAAAAATTTTTATGTTTAAATTTTTCTTGTCTTGACATAAAACATGAATTTTATTTTATCAACAAGAAGAAAAAATGTTAGGATTTTTCTCCCAATCTGCATGTGAGGTCCAGGTCTAGATGCCCTGGTTTTCTTGGCCCTCCTGACTTCAGGTTCCATGAATTCTGTGCCAATTGAACTTCTGTTCTCACCCTTGCCATCCCTCTCCTCTCTTCCCATCTTCATAGATGTTGGGTTTGGACAGAAAACAAGCTCTAGATATATTAATAACCTATGAGGTTTAGCTTTCTTTCCTTGTCCAAAAGGTTTTAATGTGGGGGATTTTTTGCTTTGTCAAACCCTGTATTTTCTCTCAAATTGCTGGGTTGGAGGTAGGTTGAGAAGGTGGATCCTTACATGTCTCTGTTCTCAGGTAAGACTACTATTATACAGGAAACCAAGCACAATGACTGAAAGCTAGAGTCTCTCATCTTGCACAAGGAAGTGCTTCCTCCATCAAATCTAGGGAAGCTTATTAAACCGGTTCCTTCTAATTTCATAGAGGACTACAGAGATAATAGAGGCCATGGATATACGGAAGACTTAACATAATTTTGTCCATCTTGGAAGTATATTTCTCTCCATTTACGAAAGCTGCAGAGGATAAGGGCTATGTCATTGTCATCATTCGTTATTTACTCCATTGACACCCATTCACACTAAGCCAGTAGTGTGAATTTGTTGTTTTCATTTCTACCAGACTGTGAACCTTTTAAGGGCAGGTACTATGTCTTATTCTGCTGTTCTCAATGAGAACAGCAGAATAAGACATAGTACCTGCCCTTAAAAAGTTCACAGTCTGGTAGAAATG